ATCAGACCATGCCTGCATGAGCCCCTGGCACGGCATGGCACAGAGCTGTGGGTCAGACCCCCCAGTGCTGTCCTCTGAGAAGGACACAGACACCCTCCTCACCCGTGGTGGGGTCAGACCTGCTGCAGCACCACGAGTGTGAGCCCCAGCACTGCTCCCCCTCCAGAGACCCAGCACTGCCCCAAATCGCAGCATCGATCCCCCCACACCCGCTGAGGGCCACCCAACACCCAGCACCCAGGGAAGGGTGTCCTACCTTGAAGGCGTACTTCCCCAGGGTGCTCACCACCTCCCGGAAGGGGATCTTGGAGGTGAAGGTGTGGCCAAAAAACCTCCAGGCAGCGGCAGCCCCGTTTCAGAGCCCTGTGGGTGAGTGGTCACCCCTGGGACCCCGTGCCCAGCCAGGACACCAGCCCCCTGCCCTCCCCTCTGCCTGTGGGTGTCACCTCTGCAGGGAAAAAACCAAGGGTGGAGATGCTGCTGCATGCAGAGCAGGAAGAGCTGGGCTCAGTGTCCCCAAAATGGACCTCCTTGCTGCACATCACATGGCCACAGCAGTGCTGGACCATGGAGGAGGCAAAGGACCTTCTGGATTTGCCCCATGGAGCTGCCCAAGGCACAGCACTGGGGCAGGAGGATGCTGAGGGGCAGCTGGGAGGGAGCAGCCCCTTTACCTGATGTAGCCCTCGATGCTGCTCTGGCCCCGGATCTGGTCCTCTATCAGGTAGGTGTTGTGGGAGGAGGAGATGAAGTAGTGGCAGAGCGGCTGGGTCATGTCCTGCCACAGCGCCCGGTGCTGGGGGTTGAAGATGGAGCCCTCCGGGGAGCAGAGGTACATGAGGAACCCATCGGCGCTCAGCACATGGCGAGCCCGGGCTGCAGGCAGAAGGGGAAGCTCAGCGACAGATGGGGACCCGGTGGGTACAGGATGGGGACAAACGGGGCTGCTGGTGGCTCCCAGCATCCCTGACCCGGTGGGCACAGCTGCTGCCAGAGGCTGGGGCAAAGGGAGAGATGCTGCAGGGCAGCAGCCTTGGGAAAGGTGGACAGAAGACCCCAAAGCTGGAGCTTGTACCTCATGGCTGGGCAACACTCTCCACCCACCACTGGTCAACACTCTACACCAACATGGCCCAGGGGATTGCCCAAAAAAAAAGGGAACTGCACCCAGATCGCACCATCCCCTGTGCCCACCTGCAGCAGGATGGGGCTGGGGGTGCCCCCGCTGTGGGTCTGTGGGTCTCACCTCCCTCCTTGCCCCTATACAGAGCACAGCTGATGTCTGAGCTGGCTCTCACCTGTCTCTGATGGCTCATACTTGTCGATGAGCTCCATAGCAAGTTCCTCAGTGCCCTCGATCTCCAGCTGCTCCTGCCGCAGGAAATCCACCAGCTCCAGCAGTGTCAGCTTCTTCCCATCCTCAGAGAAGTCCTGGAAGAGGCTCAGCACCTCCTCACGCTGCGTCAGGGACTTGTAGAAGAGCACGAACTCCTCCCCTTCCAGTGTCCCTGAGTCTGACTTGTCAGCAGCCTACAAGGGAGCTCACTCAGCACCCAGCTGGGGCAAAACAGGGTGGCCCAGCCTCCCCATGGGGCGGTGGGGGGATTTGCCCACCCTCAGCAGAGCGCACAGAGACTCCACACCAGCGGCAGTGGTAGGCATCAATCAATGCATGGGTGGATGGATGGGTGATTGGCAGATGGAGGGCTGGTTGGGTGGACAGATAGATGGACGGGTCCACGGATGGAGAGATGACAAATAGGTGCAGGGAGGGATGGATGGATGGATGGATGGATGGATGGATGGATGGATGGACAGACAGCTGACTGGCTGGACAAATGACTGGGAAGGAGGAACAGTTGCCTTGGCTGGTTGGGTTGACAGATAAATGAACAAATGGATGTTTGTCTGGGTAAATAGGTAGTTGGGTGAACAAATAAATGGATGGATGGGTGGACAGAAGAAAGTGACTGCATCCTTCTGCAGGGAGGGGTTGTGCAGCTTGTTCCAGCCCCTCCCCAGTCCCTCCAGGCCCTCAGGTGCGATGCTTACCTGGAAGAGCCGCAGGGCATGATCCTCATTCATGTCCACATTCATCATCTTGAGGAGACGCTGCACCTCCTTGAAGTTCATGCGCCCATCCTTATTCTTGTCAGCCTTTTGGAACCAGTCACGAATCCATGTGCAAGAAACCAGGGCAGAGGTTAAGGGAAAGGACCTTGGCTAAGAGAGACAGAGCTGGGGAGCATCAGAAGGCCTCTTTGACTTTTTCTGTGGGCTCTCCCTGCCCTGATGCAGGTGGTGAGACCCAGAAGAGCTAAGCATATGCTGGGCTAAGGCTGGAGATGTAGGGTCTGGGGCATGGCAGGAGATGGGGGAAGGACTGGGTGTGGAGGGCAGACTAGTGCCTGCAGGAAGGATATTGGTCTATCTTCTCCCTTTGGTCCATGCTGGTGGCCACCTCAATGAGCTGGCGCAGGCCCTGGACCCAGCACTGTGCCTCCTCTGCTGAGCCAGCAATGAGGTCCAGGTTGCCCCGGCGGCCATAGAAGACAATGGTGAAGCAACGCTCAGGAGGGAACTCCTCGGCCAGGCTCTGCAGCACCTCCGACTGATGCCCTTCTCGCACTGTTTCCACATCACTGATAGAGACTGGGGCAGAGGAAAGGGAGATCTGTCTGTGGGGGACAATGACCAGAGGGCAAGGGGCACCAGCCACAGACATCTGTCCTTCCAGCCATCCCCACTTCCATGTATCCATCCATCAATCTGTACACCCATGGAGCCACCCATCCATCCATCCATCCATCCACCCATCCATCCATCCATCCATCCACCCACATACCCATGGAGCTACTTATCTATCCATCCATCCACCCATCCATCTGCCCACTGAGCTACTCATCCACCTCCACCTCTGTTTGTCTGCCTACACTTCTGCTGGCCTGACAGAGCTTCCACTTGTATCAGCTGCAATTTCTACTCAGCCCTTGTGACCCATGAGTCCTGTTGGGGGCAGAATGCTTCATGCAGAGTTGTGGGTGAGAAGAGACCACTCATGCACACAGAGTTTCTCTTGAATGCCCCAGCAAGGTTTGCAAGCACGGCTCCAAGAACCTCCATACAGTCAAACTCCTGTTCACTCTGAACCCTACTGATGGCCCCATGGACAACACACAGCAGCCGGTACTCACAAGCAGACTCAATTTTGCCTGTCCTCTTGGATTGGTACCAGATGGTCATGCAGTCATCCTGCAGCTTGAAGTAACGCTGCTTCTTCCAGCTCTTGGACTTGACTTTGCGCATCAGCGTCCCTTGCTGCATCTGCTCCAGCGTGTCTGTGAGCTGGATGCCTGAGGGTAGCACGGGCTGCATCACTGAGGGTGGGAGTATCCGGGCACTGTGCCCCGCTACCTTGCTCCCTCCCAGCCCTGGGACCCCACACGGTCCCCAGTCCCTCGATTTGGAATGGAGGAGGGATGGACCCCAAATAAACTCCCTTCACCACAAAAGGGGCAGGAGGTAATTCCCCATCAACCCTTCCCAACCCCCCTCAGCGCTGCCAAGCCCAGATCCCAGCAGGCACGGTGGAGCAGGGGTGCTCACGAGCGTGGCAAGGTGAGCTCAACCCACAGGGCAGATTTGTCCTGGTGATGTCCCAGCGCTCTGCCCCGCACCTCCCCTCTGCCGGGGCACTCACGGGCATTGTGCAGCAGCGATGCCATGGCTCTGCCTCCTCCACGCCGGTGGTCTCTGGGGAGGGAAGAGAGAGAGCAGCTGGGG